GATGATTTGGTGTAGATGCAAAAGTGTAAAGTGACAAATAGTAGAAGTAATAATCAAACGACACGTGACGATACTCGGAATCGTTACAAAAATGTAAAACTCGGAATCGTTACAAAAATGTAAAACTCGGAATCGTTACAAAAATGTAAAATGACAAATAGTTCAACTATTATAGGTATTTTAACAAATTTTCCTTAGATTAAAAACATATGGGCCACTTGATAAATAGTTAATACTTTAAATATATTTTAACAAATTACCCTTTTTTGAATTATTTGCATGCAACTCGAGGTGCACTTAATAAGATCAATAAACGCAAAAAAAGAAGAGCAGTTTTAATAACGACTGCGTGTTCTCGCACTCTACCACAATGTAATATCACGGGAAAATTGCATAAAACCCTAAAAATAGGCTTTCTAAGTATTTAATTTAATTTTTTTTAACATATTTTTCTCAAAAATCAAGTTATAGCAAATATCCTTAATACAAAAAGTTTATTTTTTTTAACGAAAATACCTTCCCGTACATAACAAATCATTTTCGGATCCCAATAAAAGGAAAAGCCGGACCGCGGTTGTATATTACCGAACCCATCCATTCTGCCGGACCCGAACTGTACACTACCAGGCCACCTATTCCAGACACAATTTTCAATGTTGCCAGACTGCAGTTAACAAATGCCGGACCGCTCATGAATCCATAAACAAATGTCGGACCGCCTCCTCCAAACTCTAGACCGCTATGATGAAGTGTCGGACCGCTTTGGTGAAGTGCCGGACCGTTCCAAATCACTGACTTAAGCACCGGACCGTCATGGTGAAGTGCCGGACTGCCATGGTCAATATGTGAGGTAAGGGAGGGGTATTTTAGTCTCTGTTTTTTTTTTTTAGTTGGGGGTATTTGATAGAACACATAGTTTTGGGGAAAAAGTTGTTAGAACAAATTAAGTTGGAAGTAAATTGCTTAAAAAGTCTATTTTTTGGGATTTTATATAATTTTCCCTAGTATCATTCCTTGAGTTTTTCAAGGATGAGTAACCAACCCATTCTTTCTTTTTCCAAAATCTAGTTGTCTAAGTTAGTATTCTATTATCTACAACATGCTCCCTTGTGGGCATTAATATACTTTATTTCTATTAATATACTTTTTATTTATGATCTCTAATGTTGGTGACGTATTTTTACTATTTACCTTATTTAACTAATGAAAAGAAAAAGCAAAAGGTATATTAAAAAATAAATAAATAATAAATAATAAATAAATAAATAAATAAATAAAACTTGACAATATATAGACTTTAGCTTTAACAAGGAAACCGTGGACTTGCTATCATAAATTTTTTTGGGCAAATTCACGACATGTTTTGAAGATTGGGTAAGTATATCTATAATGAATATCAAAATAAATTCCATTAAATTTTAATAAACATTAGATCATCATCAAAGTCCTGGAGTCTAGTTGAGTAAGCTATTACAATTGCACCACCTCTTTGTAACATATTAGAAATGACAAAAGAGTGCTGGTTTTGGTTTAGTAAGACTTACTGAAGTCTCAAGTGTAACTGGGTGTGGGTTTTGGTTTAGTAGGAGTTACTGAAGTCTCAGAGAAATGACAAAAGATATTCTATTTCCGTAGGAGTATGCTATCCATTTACTCCCTCAGGTGAAATCCTACCTAAAATTAATTTTAGTAATTTTAGGATCACAAATTTTGGGGATTTAACCACTTCAATCCATAAATTAACCCCTATACAAAACAATTCCTATTTGTACCCTCTACACACTTGAAAAAAAATAATGTTTTGAGATTGAGTAGAGGGCATCTAATTTTTAGAAAGTGAGATTTAAGGTTTAGAAAACTCAAATTTCAATTTTCTTTTTAGAATAATCATCTAGTAACTATTAAGTGATCCCCAAAATTTTAGATTAAAAAAACCTCCCAAGTCTTCTAACTGAGGCTCTCGATGCAGCATTGTATATGTGCACATTATAAATTGAGAGAAGGAGAATGGTTGTGATGAAATTACTGCCTAGCAAATAAAAAATGAGAGTAATAATTTTCATATGATTTAAGAACAAAATGGAAACTTTTTACATAGGTCTGAATGGCGCGGTGCTACAACGTGGCAACTTGAGTTTCCTACCCTACCATGGGTAGTAAACTCATTCTTCACTGAACTACTCACAAAAAGAAGGAATTTTAAAGACGGAGAAGTCGTACAATACTAAGAAAATTTATCCCGAAAGGCAACACAAGCTCAATAATCCAAAGCGATTACAAATCTATCATAATAACCAAATCATGAGCCATGCCTCTCCCTCTCCCTCTCTCTCCCTCTCTCTCTCCTTCTCTTCTCTTACTTAGCTCAATATTATTAAAATTTTGCATTTTCAACTTCCATATCTCAAATTATACAACACAATCGCATTATAAAAAGAAATATATATAATAAGACTATTAATCTTTCTTATAAAGGAAATATATACAAAAAGACTATTTATCTTTCGTATGAGGAAGTCAAAATCACTTTTGACTGCGAGACTTGAAATTAAAAGGCCTAGAGTGTATGATAGGTTAAACGCGAAGTTCAAATTTTTTTTTCGAACTCTGTGACATACTTTAAACTTTACGACGTGACATTTGATGGCTGGGATTAGCCGTAAACTCCTTATTGCAAAGATAAATGGCCTTAGAGCATACAATTCCATTATAAATAGGAAAAGAACTGTATCACACAGATGAGATTCAAATATGAATACCAATAGATACAATTTCTCTGTAGGTGTGGGTGAGAATGTTGCATAAACTTCTAACCTTGTCAACTTGACGTTTTGGGTTCCACTCCTATTGGGTCCTAAGTTATTTACTAAAAAAAAAAAATCTTTATTTTTTAATTTAGATTTTAAGCCTTTAACCACCCAAATTATTTTATCTCATTATTGTTCACACGTTGATGATGAGAATAACTACAAATTTTGGGGCTAAACAAGATTCCATAGCGCCTCAATCTAACACCTTATTTTTTTAAATATTTACCGTATTTTCACTTTTTGAAAATCAAATGACTTTTTATTTATTAAGATGAACATCGATGATCTACAGAATTTAGGATCAAAGAAATCCCTCAATATAAGTTTTCTCCAGAGTTTTTTTTATCCCATTTGGCACTACTATAAAAGATTAGTACATTGATAAATATAATCTTCACTTAATAGAATTTTTTTATTTAAAAGTTTGAGATCCACCTTATAATGAACTTGTGAGCATTTGCAAAAACTAAATTTTAAATTCTTCAATACCAGGTTAGGACATTATTTATTGAGGAACTACATAGTGCATGTAAGTTTGTTTTTTTAAATCAATAATATATTGAAGAGGTCCCCACTCCCAGAAAGGAGGACCCTATAGTACCCTTGGTAGGTCGTAAAGATCCCCAGTTTTACTTTATAAAGTAATTACAAATACCGAATAGGGTACCATCCCAAAACTTATGACCCTACAAATGCTTGTCGGCAGGCTTTTTAGAGTGATAGTCAGCATCCATTACAATATTCTAATGGAAGTATTCATATGTCGCAAGTGGCCACATGCATGCAATTGGATTGACAACGATATACAAGTGTTTTACAGGACTCTTATAAGTACACCATTCTATTTGTCTGGACGTCATCAGGGATGGACCAAACTCTAATAGGCCAAACTAAATAAAGTAAAAAAAAGGGTGCGGTTTATAGAGCCGAGGTTTTAAACGAAAGTAGGGCTCTCCTTTAAACAGAGTCGAGAAATATGGTTTCAAAATTGAAAATATTCGTAATAGCTTTAATATATATTTTTATCTCTAATTATAAAATTTAAAGCTTCAAAAATAGCGTAGATTGAGTATATGAAAACTTGAAAATCTTAAAAATTGACAGTCCAAAAGTGCATTACAAAAGAAATAAAAAAAAAGTACTGGGCCCATCCAAACATGATTGGTTGGTCGTGGCCGTAGCCTAGGATCTACTTCGGGTTGTAATGGCCCTAGCCATAATTATTACTTGTCCAAGTCCAAAGCTTCAGTAAATTAAGACAGTATGTAACTTTAAAAACGATTTTGATTTTCTTGTATAAAAAATAAATAATTTTATATATACCTTTAAAAAAGTCTGGTCGGATTGCTGACATTGGATCCACACAATAAATATTCTTTAATCCAATTTGAAATTCACACTTGCACTCACCATCCATCTCCAAAAAAAATAAAAAAAAATTACAAATTAAAAATTAAAAATTAAAAAAAATAAAAATACAAAAAATAAAAAATTTAAAGAAAAGAAAGAAAAGAAATGTGCTTTTACAACGGTAGACAATGGGAAGCACAAGTAAATGTTGGTTTCCACTTACATCGTCAATGATGATCGGCAGTTACAAATTCTTCCGACACCACTTTTTTTGTCAATTTGAGGAAGGATTCATCTCCAGCTTCCATAATTGCCATAGGTGACGACAAGTAGCATATAAAAAACTACAGTAGTATACAAACACTATGCTAGTTATTGTATGCCATTTGATCTCGGGCAATAATTTTATCTTATTTCTCATTTGGAGAGCTATTTCTGGCCTAGGTTCGCAATCTAGAGTCCCGATGCTGATGGACGGTGATTGTGAACTGTTCCTCCATTATTTTTTGCTCAATCGAAGAATTGGTTCATACGTTCACGACCAAGTAACGTTGGATCGGAGAATTGATTCCTATGGTCATGACAAACGGTGGAAATCGAGCGCGCCAGCCCAAACTCGTCTGAGTAATCTGAGTGCTGGAGATTTGGATCTCAGAAAAATTAAAAAATATATATATAAAAAATCTATTTATAATATATTTTTTATTATTTTGATAAGAGTCATGGTCCTACAAGACCCTCACACATTATAGGACCCCAATCCATAACTGTTGGACATATCTATAAAAAATAAATAAATAACCCTGTTTGCACCTTCTACCTCTCTCTCTGTCTCTCATCTTCTCTCATTCCCACTCATATGCCCTGCTGTAACTTTGTGTTAGATATTTTTCATTGTGCTCTTCTCATCCATTATTTTGTCTTTGAATTGTTCTCTCTCTTTCCCCAAACTTCTCCTCTCATCCCCAACCACTCGTGAAGCTTTATCTAGGATCACCCTCATCTCTAAATCCAAGCTTCTCTCTAGAGTTAGAGGCTTTGTTTTGGGGAGCTTGAATCCAGAAAGAGAGAGAGGGAGGGAGGGAGAGAGAAAGAGAGATGAAGAATTTGATGGCCATCTTAGGGCAGGTGATGGTGCATCTCTCTCTATCGGGAATGTACTTGTGGCTTAAAGCTTCATGGTCTTGCTATTTATACTGAGAGTACATAGAGAGAGAGAGAGAGAGAGAGAGAGAGAGAGAGAGAGAGAGAGAGAGAGAGAGAGAGAGAGAGATGGAGAACTTGATGGTCATCTTAGCGCAGTTCATGGTCCAGCTTTCTCTATCAGGCATGTACCTCATTACAAAGGTGGCATTCGATCATGGCATGAACCATCTACTTTTCATAACCTATCGAACCATTATAGCCACCCTTATCTTGGCTCCATGTGCTTACATCTTTGAAAGGTACTCTCTTTCTTTCTCTCCTTGCTTCCCTTTTCTGAGATTTTATCGTCTCTCTCTCTCTCTGTTATTTTCACTTATCACAGCTTGTGAACGAATTGACAGGGAAAAATGGCCTCCTCTCTCCTTGAAAGAAGTTTCCAAGGTTTCGCTGCTTGCTTTTATCGGGTAAGCATTGAAATTTCGTCAACTCCAATATTTCACGCTTGTAACAAATTGGCTTCCAAGTTCAAGGACCATGCCCGCTACTTGGGCGGGCCAACCCGGACTCGCTCGGGTACCTCGAGCTTGCCATTCTCGTGAGCCTGAGTGTCCTAAGTTTGGCAGAGGAACTCAGGATCTTAAATAAATAAATAAAATTGTAATATGGTTTTTTAGGTTTTCCAGCATTTTAGGAAGATTGAAACTTGTTTTTGGCCATGAATATGTTTTTTAACATTTTTTCCTTCTTTTTGGATTATTTTTAAAAGAGTAATGATCCTATGAGACCCGCCCACACCTATACGTGTAGGACCCCAAATGATCATCATTAAATTTAGCATAGATCTCTAAAAAAGTTATCACATGAGTGTGGGACCTGACTTTTCTAGATATGTGTGCCATATTTAATGGTGATCTTTTGGAGTCCTACCCACATGGGTGTGGGAGGGTCTCATAGGATCATTGCTTTTTTTAAAATACCACCGATTTTTTTTAAATCCATTTTTTCCTTACTTTTTTAGCCTTATTTACATGTACATTGTTAATTTTAATTTAAACATATTTTTCATATTTTATGTGATCTTTTTCATATTTTTTTAACATTTTTTTGGCCAACAAGACCTGCTCAACTCCGCCCAAGTTACTCGGTTCCGCCCAAGACGGAGTTTTGAAGCAGAATAGGGCTTTCCGACATTGGACCATGCAATGCAAAAAAATCTTCAAAGATCATGAGAAGATGGACCTAATTTTATACATTCCTCCTGTGATTAACTTTTTCTCTTTTGCAGGATTGCGGTCTCTCAAAATTGTTACTTCGCTGGCCTTTATTACACTTCCTCCACCTTTGTGTCTTCTCTATCTAATCTCATTCCTGTGATTACCTTTGCCTTGGCCTTTCTCCTTAGGTATCACCATGTTTTTTGTTACTAAATTTTGTTACATGAGGTTATTTGTTTATTTTTATGTGAACAATTTGGCAACTCTTGTTTACAGTAACTTACCCAAAAGATTTTATACCATTGTAGTTCATATTTGGTGAAGTCTACATGGGCTCCTTCATATTAGATTTAAGATTGTTATGCATTACTTTCTATCTCTAAAGACTTGTTGATTGGTTTGTATTATATAGGTTGGAGGTTGTGGACATGAGGAGCCCAAGAGGGCAAGCAAAAGTTGTAGGCACGGGCACATGTGTAGGGGGGACCCTAATCTTGACACTCTTGAAGGGTCCTGCCCTTAAAATCTTTAAGGGCCTTAAGAAACCAACATCTCTTCTATTACTTTTGTCTACACTTCAGGCCCTTACAAACACAAGTAATTGGGCGTTGGGCTCTGTACTGATTTTGTGTAGTGTTAGCGCATGGGCGGGATGGATAAATTACCAGGTGGGGCTTTCAATACGTAATGTTTTATTTTTTAAATAGTTGATTGGTAAATTTACAGGAAAGACTTATTTTACTTTTTGATTTAATCTTACGTGTCTTTTAATTTTATCTCTTTTTCCTTGCATCGAATAGAGCTCAAATGTGACATGCACACACTTCTCATCATTGTACACTAACAAAAATATTAAAAATATTATTTAAAATAAAATAACTAAAATACCCTTACATTATTATTAAGTCGTATTTTTGTAATTTATGGAATTTATATTATTTTTGGTTTTAAAATTTTTTAATGTGAAATAGTGAGTTACAATTTTGGGCTTAACCGGTATATAAAGAAACATAAAATTCAAATATACTATACCCTCTAAAAAAAAATGGACTTGAGTGTAAAATATGACTATATCTTAATTCCAATAATAAATTAAGGCTTTTCTATAATTCCCTAGTTGGTCATTATTTATCATGTTTTATCACTTCCAGGCGTGGGCGTTCAAGGACCATCCGGCACCAATATCATTGACTTCGATGACATGCTTTTTTGGCTGTATTCAATGTGTTATACTCTCTCTCATTTTTGCACACCCCAATGATTGGAGACTAGGATGGGACTTTAAGCTCTTTGCCTATGCCTACAGTGTAAGGAAATGCATATTCTTTCATAATTAAATCTAAATAATTTATGGGTACTATATTACTTTTCTGTAATTGAGGTGCTTTCATGGCAGGAGAATGTCCAGTTTTTGTTTAATTTTAGAGCAATTTCAATTGCTCTCATTTTACTGTGTTCGAAGTGTCACAAGTATTTTTTTGGACATAAATAATTCCCATATTACAATTAAATTCCCATAGAACCCTAAGATTTAATTGCTAGAGGGAAGCGGACGAAAATTTCAGCAAGATCATTGCACAATTTGTGTTTTATGCATTTTGCTTGTTTTTCTCTATGATCATGGGCTTTCTAGTATTTATTTCTTGTACATATTGTTATTCGCTTATGTTTTATGCAAGTTGGCTTTGTTTTTAGTAACCTTCCACCTTCTCAAGGGAATCGCCACGCCTATATTTCAATTTTATTTGACATTCATTGATAAAAATGACGAGTTTTTTTAAGGTTGTTGTCCAAAAATTGTAATTCTAGCACTCACAAATTTTTGTTATAACTGGCATATTAATTGTAGTATAGGTTGATGGAATTCGAAACTCCAACAATAGTGCAGATATGATATGATTGTATTCTAAAAAATTTATGTGGACGGAAATGATTTTAATGGTTTGAAACTCATTTGTTTTCAAGTTTTATAAGTGTGAAAGTCAGAATAGATTTGCAGTTTTCCCACGTGTAACTAGATCTAGTGAGATTTGAGAGACAACTTCACATTGTGGTGCTACAAATTATTTGTCCCTTTAAAAAATAGCTCATGTGACCAATTAAAAACAACGTAATCTGTCACAATCAAATAGACATGCATGGGAAATGCAAATTCAAGAATCGGTGGGAAAACTGGTCCCCTTGTAGTGTATATTCATTTTATTATAATTAAAAACTGCGATGAACGCAGGGAGCATTTTGTACGGCCTTCCAATTCTTTATTCAGAGTTGGTGCATCAAGAAGAAGGGTCCACTCTTTGCGGCTGCATTCTATCCTGTGGGCACCCTCATCGTTGCCATGCTCGAGCCCATATTTTTTCACATTGACATTTATATGGGAAGGTGGGTTCTAATATTATCATATTTTTTTTATTAGTATTTTTACAAAGGAAAATATATCCATATCTTTTATTTTTTGGGTTTTATTTCACAATAGATTCCAGGTTTTAAAAGATATATTGAGGCATAAAAATTGTAGATTTTATTTTTTCTAACCCCTGAACTAATATAAACTTGTTTTTTAGGTCAAACAAATCTAATAAAGCATACCTTTTCTAAAAGTCATCTTCCCAAACTTCTAAAGAGATAAAAGGGTTTCATGGAGGTGAGAGGTTATCGGGAGGAGAGAAAAAGGTGTTTGAAAAAACACGGAAAGAGAGATAAAGTGAGAGAGATGCAGGAAGAAAAAGAAAGAGAGAAGTTTGGGGTATATAAATGAAGAGAAAAAATGAATTGAGTTTAAAAATAGCATGTCTTTCTCATATTTGTTTAGGTTAAAAAAAAAATTTAAAATAACGAGGGGATTAGAAGATATCTTTTGAAACTTCAAATCTATCATAAAATGAATCCTAAAAATAGAAAATATGGACATATTTCCTTTATTATAATGCATGCCTATCGGGTGGACCCCTATGAGTCATAATCTCATAATTAGGGCCGTCAGTAGCTCAAGCTTCGCGGGGCTTGAAAAATATAAAAATAAACGCGCCAACAAATTCAGCCAGGCCCAGCCTGGAAAATTCGTATCTGGGCAGCCATGGCCCTATGAAATATATATAAATAAGTAATATAATATCTATACACTCTTATTGGATATATAATTTGAAATCTTAGGAGCTCTTGCCTGGACCTAATCAGCAAGCATTAACAAGTGATCTTAAACTTGGGGGCAGGTTAGCAGCCCTAATCACAGTTAAAGCACGTATAAGGTGGGACCTTAGGTACCAAATATTTATTAGGGCACGTTTGGTACGCATGATACTGCTTCGGTGAAAGTATTTTTATATGAAAAACTCCCTCATGTGATTTGATATGAGAGTTTTTTGCACATCAAATAGCTGCTAATTGCTGTGAAAAAATGCATTGAGACTAATTGGTGGGACAAAAAAAATCATAAGCTTAGTCATATGATGGAGCTTTTTCGCATGAAAATATTTTCACAGTAGTATTTTCACATATACCAAGCATGCCCTAGATCAGAAAATTTTCAAAATTACATTTAGTTCAACTTGTGATCAATTTTTCTTTCTTAAATAGATACTCATCAGAAATTCTTTAGATTTTACAACCATTAAAATGAGCAGTCCGGATTAAGTCTTGGAAGGATTTCTATTCTTTAGGTTAATCTTTGAAGAGCATAATGACTATTTCCCAAAGTCTCTCTCGCTCGCTCTCGTGTTTCGACTGGTTCCTCACTAATGTTTTTCATTTTTATTCTTCATGTAGTTTGGTGGGTATGGTTTTGATAATTGGTGGGCTTTATTGCGTATTATGGGGCAAAGCCAAGGATGTGGTGGCAGGGCCAAACAAGGCCCAAGAGGCAGTTGAATCAAGTATTTCAAGCAATGCTACTCATGAATGCCATGTGGGTATAAAAGAGCCCTTGTTGAGGTAAGCAGCTTTATTTTAAAGGGCAAGGACATGGGGTAATAGAGGATTGTAAGAAGCTTGGGAAGGCCCTTATAAATAAATGTATTGTATTGATTATATTTTTCTTTGGTGCCATTGTATGAATTAATTCTTAAAGGAGGACAATGATATTTTATCCCTATATATATATATTATTAGTTGTTAGAAAATGATAATCACTGTGAGTTATATTATATCTCATGTATGTGATGCCATTTCATAGTATAGTTAATAAACGGTTTTATTTTTATTAGAAAAGTTTATTTTATTATTTATTAGTTACCTAAAAACCCTAAAAAAAAGAGGTATTATAGTAGGTACTAGGGGTGTCAAGTATTAAAAAATATTCAGTTTGTTAAGGTAATACTCAATGAGAGAGCCCGACTTTTATTCATCTTGGTGAACAATATAATGAAAAGAAGAAAATAAGTTTGAATAGGATCCCTGAAGATAATCCAAATGAATGTCCACTTCAACAATGATCTCTTTGTTGGATTTGGTGCTATCCAAAATCATCTACATATTGAAATCCCATATGTGGGATTGAGATTGATATTGATAAGTTTTTTAAAAGAAATAAAAATAAAAATACATTAGGATTCTTGGATATATCAATTGGTTTTGAGATATATATAACATCTTTAGGAAGTTTTCTATTTAATGTGGGTTCCTAACCTTATATATATGGAATGAAAGTTACATTAGATATTTTGGATCATAGAATTACCACTCTAACCTTGATAAAACACAATTGAGCAAAATCATTTTAAACCTGCCCAAACAGCACCACTATCGGTCTCTCATCTCTATTTCATAAATAGACCACACTCTAAGAATTGGATGACTAATATGGACATAGACCACTGTCTAGAAATTGAATAACTAATATGCCAATTCATAATTTCTATGGCGGCCACTATAAATGAGGTAACAATTAGTTACTTGGCTATGATGGCAGACATAATGAAGCATTTTATTGGCTATGAAGCATTTTACTGGTTATGATGGCAGACATAGTGGCAGACATAGTGAAGCATCTGACTGCCAAAATGTTTGCACAACAAACGTAGAATGGTGGAGCTACAGTATGTCACTTCTCAATGAAAGCATTGGTCACGCCTTTCTCAACTGTTTAATCCTCCTTAGCTTTTCATGCATTCTCTACCTTTTATAGGTAGATTCACTTCTCAATGGGAACGATGTGGGGCTAATTTCAGTTTTCCCTTGTGAACGTTTATTGACATAAAAATTGTAGCGTATATCTTATACTTTGCAAAATACTAGTATATATGATATATAATTTATTTTTCTCTTTTTATTCTTTTTTCTGAATTTTGACATTGTTAGTTTGTATTCTTAGGTGAAAATCTTTTCTTGAATAATTTAGTAATGTCATAAGGGAATTCATTTTAATTTTTATCATATGATATAGAAGTGTTTTTTAATATTTTTTGAATTATAGTTGTTATAATATTATAAATAATAATTATACATTGATTTTTGTTATAACAGTAAATTAATTTGTTTGTATCATTAATTTATTGTAGGTCATGTATGATTATATACTTCATCCATGACAATTCAATGTTTCTTCTTTTGTGTGATGTGAAGTATTTTTTAATATTTTTTTAATTATAGTTGTTATAATATTATAAATAATAATTATAAATTGATTTTTGTTATAACAGTAAATTGATTTGTTTGTATTATTAATTTATTGTAGGCCATGTATGATTCGATACTTCATCCATGATAATTCAATGTTTCTTCTTTTGTGTGATGTAAATTTAATGGTTAACAGTAGTGCTTTAAAAATCGTCGAGTCAGCACGGAATCGATCGATTCGAATCGGGATTTGGTCATCCCGTGTCGGTTCTTCTGTAAAGCCGAGAATCGCTCGGTTCTAGAGAGAACCGGCGATTCTGCATAATAAATTGCCAAGTTATTCACATCATGACGTCAGGACCCACCCATTCTTATTAATTTATTGTAGCTCATATATGATTGTGTACTTCATCCATGATAATTCAATGTTTCTTCTTTTGTGTGATCCATGATAATTCAATGTTTCTTCTTTTGTGTGATGTGAATTTTTTTTTTAATATTTTTGAATTATAGTTGTTATAATATTATAAATAATAATTATACATTGATTTTTGTTATAACAGTAAATTAATTTGTTTGTATTATTACTTTATTGTGGGTCATGTATGATTATATACTTCATCCATGATAGTTTAATGTTTCTTTTTTTGTGTGTGATGTAAATTTAATAGTTAACAACAATGTTTTAAAAATCGTCGAGTCGGCACGGAAGATGGGGATTGGGTCATCCCATGTCGGTTATTCTGTAAAGCCAAGCGATTATAAATCGCCTCAGTTCTTCGCGTCATGACATCAGGACCCGCCCATTCTTCTACAATCCAGGCATTTTTGTAAATTTCGGGGAACAAAAGATAGAGATTCGGTCATCCCATGTCAGTTCTTCTATAAAGCCGAGCGATTCTAAATCGCTTCGGTTCTTCGCATCATGACATCAAGACCCACCCATTCTTCTACAGTCAAGGGCATTTTTGTAAATTTTGAGGAACAGAAGGTTCTTCGCATCATGATATCAGCACCCGCCCATTCTTCTATAGTCAAGGCCCATTCTTCTACAGTCAAGCGAATTTTTGTAAATTTCGAGGAATTTCGAGGCAAAATTCTTCAGGACCCGGTTTTAGAGAGAACCAGCGATTTGGCATAGTAAATCACCCGGTTCTAAGAGAACCGGCGATTCTGCATAGTAAATCGCCCTATTCTTCGCGTTATGACCTCAAGACCCGCCCATTCTTATTAATTTATTGTAGGTCATATATGATTATATACTTCATCCATGATAATTCAATGTTTCTTCTTTTGTGTAATACATGATAATTCAATGTTTCTTCTTTTGTGTGATGTGAAATGCTTTTTAATAATTTTTGAATTATAGTTGTTATAATATTATAAATAATAATTATACATTGATATTTGTTATACTAGTAAATTAATTTGTTTGTATTATTAATTTATTGTAGGTCATGTATGACTATATACTTCATCCATGATAATTCAATGTTTCTTCTTTTGTGTGATGTACATTTAATGGTTAACAACAATGTTTTAAAAATCACCAAGTCGGCACGGGAGATAGGGATTCAGTCATCCCGAGTCAGTTCTTCTGTAAAGCTGAGCGATTCTAAATCACCTCGATTCTTCACGTCATGACGACCTGCCCATTCTTATACAGTCAAGGGCATTTTTGTAAATTTAGGGGAAAGGGCATTTTTGTAAATTTTCGGGAACGAAAGATAGGGATTCGGCCATCTCGTGTCGGTTCTTCTGTAAATGCCCATTCTTCTACAGTCAAGGGTATTTTTGTAAATTTTGGGGAACAAAAGATAGGGATTCGGTCATCGTGTTCTTCTATAGTCAAGGGCATTTTTGTAAATTTTGGGGAACGGAAGATAGGGATTCGATCATTCCGTGTCAGTTCTTTTGTAAAGAAGAGAGATTCTAAATTGCCTCAGTTCTTCGCGTCAGGACCCGCCCATTCTTCTATAGTCAAGGGCATTTTTGTAAATTTTGGGCAACGAAAGGGATTCAGTCATCCTGTTCTTCTACAATCAAGGGCATTTTTGTAAATTTTGGGGAACCGAAGATAGGGATTTGGTCATCCCATGTCGGTTCTTCTGTAAAGCCAAGCGATTCTAAATTGCCTTGGTTCTTCGACTCGCCCATTCTTCTACAGTCATATCTCATTCTTCTACAATCAAGGGCATTTTTGTAAATTTCGGGGAACGAAAGATAGGGATTCGATCATCCCATGTCAGTTCTTCTATAAAGCCAAGCGATTCTAAATCACCTCGGTTCTTCGACCCGCCCATTCTTCTACAGTCAAAGCTCATTCTTCTACAGTCAAGGCTCATTCTTCTACAGTCAAGGGCATTTTTGTAAATTTTGGGGAACAGAGGATAGGGATTTGATCATCTCGTGTCGATTCTTTTGTAAAGAAGAGCGATTCTAAATCGCCTCGGTTCTTCGCATCAGGACCAGCCCATTCTTCTACAGTCAAGGGCATATTTTACCCTCCCATTCGTCTATAGCCAAGGGCATTTTTGTAAATTAATTTCAAGGCAAAATTCGTCTCGGTTCTTCGCGTCAGGACCTGCCCATTCTTCTATAGTCAAGGGAATTTTTATAAATTTTGGAGAATTTTCCCATTCTTCTACCTTCAAGGCCCATTCTTTAACAGTCAAGGACATTTTTGTAAATTAATTTTGGGTCCTATTCTTTTACTGTCAAGGGAATTTTTATATATTTTGGAGAATTTGTCCATTTTTCTACCTTCAAGGCCCATTCATCTATAGTCAAGGGCATTTTTGTAAATTAATTTTGACAGTCAAGGGAATTTTTATAAATTTTGGAGAATTTTCCCATTTTTCTACCTTCAATGCCCATTCTTCTATAGTCAAGGGCATTTTTGTAAATTAATTTCGACCCAAAATTTGTCAGGAGACCGAAGGGAGACCGTGGGCCCCCCGTACGCTTCGCGAGGCCCTAAGTTCCTTCATGCGCGTGTGCTTACGATCGTATGATCTCGTTACTTCATACACGATGCGAACGCTGAGTACAAAGAACTATTTGTTCACATAAATTTGCTTTTCTCTCTTCGATGTGGGACTATGTGAGAAAGTAACACCTTAAAACATTCATATATTATATATTTTGTTAACGGTTTTATTAATACAAAGTTGCAAGTGTTATATTGATTATTGTGTTCGCTCATTGTGTGAACGGGACGGGGGTTCGATTCCTCTCGTTGAGGAACTGTTTTTTTTTCCTCTTTTTTTTGTCAAATTATTTTCTTATAAAAAAAATTAAATATTTTTTGTAAAAATTAAAAATAAAAGGTTTTATCAATTTCGCTTTTTGTTATTTTTTTTTCTTATCAATAAAATAAAACGTTTTGTATAAAAAAATGAAATTTTTTTGTCAAATTTGTTTCTTATCAAAAAAATTAAAGGCTTTTCCTAAAAAATAAAAATAAAAGGTTTTTATCAATTTTTCTTTTTGTCAAAAAAAATTTCTTATCTACAAAATACAAATTTTCGTATAAAAAAAATGAAAGGTTCTTGTCAATTCCTTTTCTTGTCAAAAAGGTAAAAGGATTTTGTCAAAAAAATAAAAAATAAAAATTTATTTTAAAAAAAATAAAAAATTTCTCATAAAAAAAAATACAAGTATTTTACTAAAAAAAACTCATTTCTTATTTTTGTTAAAATAAGTTTATACAAAGAAAAAAACTCAATATTCACATATTGATGAAAAAAATGAAAATTAATAATGTGTACCTCGATTTCTTATTGGATTATTAAAAAACAACATTTATAATGAATTTTAATAATTTTTTAAAGCTTAATCCAATCGATTCGACCGATTTTCGATCTGAATCGTCGATTCACCGATCGGGATGGGTTTTTGGGATGCCCGATCTGAGGCACCGATAAGAAGCTTAATTGCAGCTCTATGTCGGGAATACATGTTGCTTTCTGTCCAATCATACTTTGCAATAATTTTTCTACAAGAACTGCCTTGCTAAGAGTGGACGCTAACAACCATTTTTGGAAGTTCATGTTAAGGACAAAAACTTTTCAGTTCCCAAAAATTTAAATAAAATGCATTCCTAATTGGAAATGTTCTGATCTCCGAAATAATATGAACTCCACTGCTGGTGATGCTCCAGCTGCCCAGAGTTTTATTTTTTCGCTTTCCCTTGGGTGAATATAAAGGAGAAACTACTCATTGAAGTGTTACTTAACCCATATCTATGCCCTTCCCTACAGGCCTTCCTTCATAGTTTAACTGTGAAATTATATATTTCTTAACCATGAGATGTTACTTGCCTGCAATCATCGCGGGTATAATTGTTCTTCATAACATTGTACTCGAAATAAGAGATTCATCAATTTCGATCTAAACCAGCGTCCTCCCACCTTGGTTGCGTTGCTATATGCTCCCATGGGGGGGAATGTTTGAAAAAAAATATGGTAGGACAACTTAGCCCCTTCTTTTCAGGAGTTCAAAAAACAGGATATGGACCTTGTGTAAAGAGGTACACCAAGCGAGAACTACACAACCATTACGTCACTTTATAATTGATTTTAGATGTGGGAAGGTTAAGTAATGCAGGGTGTGGTTTCTGTATGGTTGCTACCTTAAACAATCCAAATAAGGTGCACCTTCAAATTTTATCATAAAATGTAATTTTAGTATAAAAAAATTCTTAGGATTATTTCAAAATCTATTTTCATATCTAATTATAAAGTTTTAAACTCCAAAAATAATTAAAATAAAGTAGATCTATAAAACTATGAAAGTCTTGAAAATGGACGGTCTAGATAATGTGTTGCAAGATACTCTATTTCTGAGACTCAAAATCTTTTTTCTTTCATATTCATATATCTCCATGTTGAGATGATCAAATAGAGGGTTTTTCAACATTAAAACAAACTTGTTCCGTAGATTTTTGAGGTGCATCTGTAATTCTACATTTAAGGTTGCAACCTTATATAAATTTTTTCCAATAATATACATTATTCTTTTTTTCGTTATTTTTATCTTTTGAAATAGCGGGACTGGAGAAGTTACCCAGAATTTGTTCGACAACTCGGTTTGAGTTCCGAGTTCTCAAGCCGAGTACTCCGGCTTACAACCTTGGGAAGCCCTAGCGTCCCTGAGTTGAGTGTCCCAATCACGCATATTAACAAAAATTAAAAATAATAAAAACCCTAAAACTGAGGATTTTATTTATGACATTTTTTAATATATTTTCTATAAAGATTGGAAGTTCTGTGGCCATGAATTAATTTTCCCCTTCTTTTTATTTTTATTTTTAAAATACCTTAGTTACAAATTAATTTATTCAAACTCCATTTTTTGCTACTTTTTTAACAGCATTTACATATGTTTTTTATTTTAATTTTAAATATATCTTATTATTTTTTAGATTTTTTATATATTTTTATTTTATAATAAATTTTTTGCCGCTATAGTACTTGCTATAGTACTTGCCCTACTCAGGCCGAGCCATGGTTTTGAACGCTGCGCTAGAGAAACTTGCTGGGACGAAGGGTCGTGTATCTTCGCTGAGTCATTTTTCCGTACAATAATTGTTTTATTAAGAAGCCAGGTCTCTTGAGCCCGAGTCATCCATACACCTAGCCGAGTCCATGGCTGGCTAAGTCTATAGATCATCAAAGCACAGGGCGATTCAGATTTTTTTTTTTTTTTTTAATAACAATAATACATTATTATATAGTGCTAAAGCTTTATGCGGAAGACCTTGGGAGGGGAGACTTAAATAAAGGGCCCGTTTGTTTCGTATGAAACTTGCATCACGACCAGTGGTTTAAAAAATGGATCGGTGCCTCAGATCGGGGCACCAAAAATCCATTCGGATCGATGAATCAGTGTTACGGATCGGGAATCAGCCGAATGGGGGGATTTGGCCTTAAAAATACTTTGAAAAAATTATTATAAATCATTATAAATGTTGGTTTTTAAGAATCAATAAGAAATAAGAGTACTACATTAATAACTTCCATTTTTTTGTATCAATATGTGAATATTTAGATATTTCTTCTATGTATGAACTACCGTTAACCATTAAATTTAATACTATAATTTAACTTCGCATCAAAATGAGTAACTTTTTTTAAAAAGAAATTCTATTTTATATGATTAAAAAATAATATCCCTTATTGATTAGTATCACATTAAATATTGATTACTTATCTCTGCTCATCTAAAATTATAGAACAGCTAACTAGCTATAATATTATACATTGAAATTAGAGTTATTAATTTATATTTTATAATTATTTTAGGAAAAATTTTGTACATACCCCTAGTTGTCCATCTTATTTCATGGTAGACCCTCATTCTATTTTTCTTTCAAGTGGCAATAAAAAACCCTCAAGCATTTCACCGTATCCCCTCATCTCTTCTCTCTTAAGTTTATTCACTTTTGGCCACAAAAACTAACCCCAACAAATTATTTTATTTCATCTCAATCTAGAAGCTTTTTTAACCGTATTTTACACTTTTTCAATTATGTATTGATTTTGCCAAAAAAAAGGAAGAAGAAGAGTTCAATTGTGTTTAAATTGTGTGTGCGCGCATGTGTGTGCACGAGAGTGAGAATGAGTTTACAAAAAGTGCAAAATAGGGTTAAAAAAGCTTTTGGATTGAGATGGAATAAAACAATTTGTTGAGGCTAGTTTTTGTTGCCAAAAGTGCATAAACGTAAGAGAGAAGAGATGAGGGGGTATGTTGAAATACTTGAAGGTTTTTTTATGACACTTGAAAGAAAAATAGAATGAAGGTCTACCTTGAAATAAAATGGAGAATTAGAGGTATGTATAAAAAATTTCTATTATTTTACTATATAAATTACAATAAATTAAAATTTTGTTTTATAATATCATTTAAGTTAAAAAATTTTATTTACAACTATAACAAAAAATAATATATTACATAACTATAATACAAAGAAAATAATACATTACATAACTACATGAAAGTTGTGAGAGGGAGAGGCCAAGGCGAGAGAGACTCATAACTACATGAAATTTGTGAGAGGGAGAGGCCAAGGCGAGAGAGACTCAAAGTTTAGAGTTAATTCGAGAAAGAGAGAAGGCGAGAGAGAGAGTCATCGAGATGCAAAGCTGAAAGTTAAATTAGTCCCAAATCAAAAATAGAATCAGGTTTTTTCCTCTATAGAGCCTCAACACTAAGTCAATAAAGCATTGCACGTTTAATATATGTGATGCGGCTGATCATTAGTTGGTGGGCCACGTAGCCTTTTGATTTAGAAGCTGTATACTCCGCATTGGGAGTTAACTGTCTCTCTTTGGTTTTAAAAAGACTTTTAAAAAATGTCTTTATTATATAGAATCGGTGATTCGACTTTTAAAAAATGCCCTTATTTAGTAGAATCGGTGATGCGTGCGCACGGCGATTCATGCATTGGGAATTTACGTTTTAAAAAGACTTTTGAAGAATACCCTAGTTACCATTCATGCGTCATGCGTTGGGAGTTTATTGTCCGTTTTTGGTTTTAAAAAGACTTAAAAACAATGTCCTTGTTACATTTCAAAAATGCCCATGTTAAATAGACTTGGCGATTCATAGCCGATCAGTGATGTCATAGATTCATAGCCGACCTATGATGTCATATATATGATTTACTGTAACAACATGCTAGATTCCGTTTTAAAACGGGATCACACAATTTTCTGTAGCGACACGCTAGATCCTATTTTAAAACGGGATCCGAGACGATCAAGCCGATTCTTGATCCAGATTGCCCAATTCTCGATCGAATCGCTAATTTTTTTAACCCTGATCACGACATAGTTTTCATATAAACGTTAAAGCCAATGAAAACTTGTCTCATAGAAAAAGGTTTTACCACCAAAGAGCAAATCGAATGTAAAGAAATCCTTACCCCACAAGTGGAGAGTAAGCTCCCGAGGATCCACTACTCATGTGGATCCAAAAAATCTTTCTTTCAAGTTTACTGCAAGGGGTTGAAACCACAAAAAATAAAAATATTTCTCTTTTCCACCTGCCACCCCTCTCTCTTGCATTCATTATCTCTTTGTTTCTGTTCTAGAGGTGGTTTTTTAGAAAGAGTGAGTTTTAGGAGAGAGAAAGAGCGATTCGATCTTTAAAGAGAGATAATAGATTTTTAGATAGAAAAAGAAAGATTGGGTTTTTAAAGAGAGAATAGGCTTTTAAATAGAGAAAGAATTTCAATTTATAGAGAGAATGAGATTTTAGAGAGAAAGATAATAGATTTTTAGAGAGAATGAGTTTTTAGATAGCGAGATTGAGTTTCAAGATGGAGAACGAGAGATTGAGTTTATAGAGAAAATGGATTTTTAGAGAGAAGAAGACAGATTAGGTTTCTAGAGAGAAAAAATAGGTTTTTAAAAAGAGAGAAATTGGGAGATAATTTACCAATGGGTTACCGGACATAAAAAACTGGGTACCTAAGAATTTTAGATATGTGAACCAAATATGAGATATAGCAGGATTGAAAAACTCCTGCACAAGAAACTGTTTACAGATGAAAATTGTTTTACATATGAAAACTAATTTATATAAGCATACTGTTACAGATGAACCAAACGAACCTTAAATAAATTGATTGCTTCTCTACATCTTTCTTACAACTATAGTATTAATGATTGATTCACTACATGGTTTGAAATGCATCTAAAACTTAACTCTCACATGGAAAAGAGAAACTCATCGTGGCATTAAATGGAGAAAATTTATTGTATGCATTTCCGGATACATTTCTACATTTGGAAATAGATGGTCCCTCTAAAAATAGTTAAAAATTATGGCTTAAATATTTTTTAAAATATTTGAAAAATATTTATTTATTTAATGAAAAATCAGGCATAGATCCAGTAAACTACATCTATATATGATCCCAACGGCCTAGATTGAATCTATCCAATGGCCACAACCTCTTTTCGTATTTTAATTTTAATGTTTTTTCTACAAATCCAAATCACATGAAATTTTACATGTTTATTCTTCTCATCGAGGAACATCTAACAAAAAATATAAATTGATCAAAATACCCCTGAAAAGTTTTAAGGGTATTTTAATCAATTTATTTTTTTACAAATTTTTTTTTTGATATTTTTATTAGATTCTACTATTTTTAAATAACACGTTCAAAATTTCAACTGATTTGAATTTAAAATTCAAATATGAAATACATTTCTAGTCATTGGATCGGTCCAGATAGAATTTGGACCGTTGTACTCATATATAACTGTAGGCTAGCGGGCTTACACCAGATATATAAGATTTCCATATTAGTGATTATATATTCTTTAAAACATAGGTCCAAAATCCATATCAAAAATAAACTTTTACTTGAGTCCTAAGACTAATAGAAACCTGTATCGTTGAGTAAAAATATACAACAAAATTCACTATTATTAAGTCCCCTACCCAAATTTGGAATGCAATACACCATTCTCTTCTCTTTGTAGGATAATTGACATTTGACATCGACTCGATTGAGTACACCATTATCTTTCCGTAGGACATTAGGTGCTTCTATCTACCATTATTTCAACAAAGGCTCCTTTATTGTGAGGTGTAACGCGGCCTTTTCCTTGAGATTCGGGGATTCTTGTGTCCTAATCTCTGTAACGTTCTCGTCCTTTGCTTTGCCCCATAGCACACAATAAAGTCCAGCAATAACAGTAACTATTCCAACGACACTGAAATTAAATATGACAAGTCAATCAACAAGGAAGAAAATCTCTTTCTCACGCACACGGTTACAGTTTTTTTGTTGACAAATTATCTCTCTCAATTACATCTCTCTCCTTCCTTTGGATAGTGTACATAACCCTGCCCCAACTTGTGTAACTTAGACACACTTTATCCATATTTTTTGTGTGGGCCATGATACTCATGTCTGATGAGATTTAGAAAATAGAAATCTTGACACTTTTTATTTTATTTTTTTAAAAAGGGATTCTATATTATGAGACCATTGAAATTTTTTATAAGGTAAACTCAATTCGACCATTGGATATGAAATCCAATAGACAAAACTGCGTCCCAATATTCAAAAAATTTTGGCCCAAACAATGACACATCCTCAACTACCCTATTTCAAATAGAGCGGTCAATGATGATTATGACCTCCTCATATTAAAAGTAAATGAATGAAGTTTGTATAAGACCGAGATACTAAACAATGAAAGTAACACAAACCTTCAAATTGTGTCGAGAAATGTTGTTTCAATATTAAAAATCTTTGTGACAACCTTAAAATATATTTTCATCGTTTGTTATAAAATTTACGATTTAAAAAAAAGTGTAAATTGAGCAAATGTATGAGAACTTGAAAATTGACGGTCAAAAAATGTGTTACAAAATGCACTATTTCCAAAACTTGAAATCCATTTTTTTCTCATGTCCATGCATCTTGATGTCGAGATGATCAATTTCAAGATATTTGGGTATCAAAACATCCTCTTCTAGTGAACTTTTTGAGGTGGGCTCTAATTTGATTGTTTAGAGCCTCCGCTCTATATAAACTTTCCTGAAGTAAATAGCCTCATTGAATAAATTTTCTGTTTAGCAAATAAATATTTTGATAGGATTGCAGCCCTATCAAAATAAGTAAAGCCTTACATCAAAACACACCAAAAATTGCAATTTTTATTGTCAAAAAACCTTTAAATCGATCATCCCAGCCTTGAACATTATGGTTGTAAAAAAAAAATAGCATTTTCAAACCCTTAAAATAGTGTATATATTTTTTGGACCTCCCATTTCGCCCTAAAATTAAGTTTTCGTTGATCCACAAGACTTGTGTCATTTTTGGGGCTTCAAACTTCAAATTTCGTGATTGGTATGGGAAATTGATATTAGAGGCATCATGGAGATTTATGATGCCAATGTTCTTTTGAGATGAAAATTCAAAGTGAGGCTTTATTTATTTCCATAAACTTAGGCCCGGTAGAAACCCCATCCTTTAAAAAGATATTGTTGTAAAACTTAATTCTCCTAAGGCGAGATATTGCTTGCCGTGGTTTACCGGCCAATTTAAAAAGGAAAAAGTTTATATAAGGTTGCAACCTTATATTGTTGAAGTAAAGTGCACTTAAAAAATCCTAGAATTGAGATGAAGGGACATAAAAGAAAAATAAATTCCAAATCTAAAAAATAATGCATCTCGTAACAAGTTATCTTAACCGTTTATTTTCAAGATTTTCAAGTACTTATTGATTTGCTCGATCTATACCATTTTCGAAATATTAAATTTTATAAGTGATGATAAAAAGAGACTTTAAAGCCACCATAAAATTTTCGACACCAAGACTAAGTAAATTAGATAGGTGGGCCACACTTCTATATAGTATAAGGAGGCAACCTTATACAAACCTCATCTATTTTAAAATTATCTCTTTAGAAACTTAACAACTTACGTATCCGGTAGGCTTTTGAGCAAAGCTCTCAACACACCTCTCTCTCTCTCTCTCATCCACATGCAGGAACCTACCTCCCGACGTGGAGATGAACATGGAAGACGATAGGCTCGAGGATGGATACTATGACGGTGCAAACTGGATAGAATGCAGCAGGGAAAACAGGGCCTTTGATTTTGATGCACCAACTTTGAACAAAGAATTGGAATGCTGTACAAAGAACACCCTGCAGTAAAAGATTCACATCAATTAATAAGAAAGGTTGTGGGTCCCTCAAGATTTCATATAGATGGTCCTAAAAACATTTCTTAAAAAATGTTAATTATTATTTTTAAAAATTATTTTCTTTATACATATTCATATTCATGTTGGTTGATATTTTTAAGCTGTAAATTTTTTAATCTAAAATTTATCTCTAAATTACATTATGGAGAGAGGTTTCATGTAAATAGGTGTGGGGGACTCAGCAAAACATTGACCTCAAAAAAAAGTGTTTTGTGAATGAGCGGGCTCATTAGCCCATACAATCACAAACGTCAATGACCATCCACAACTAAAGATTCCTATCCAATGGATTGAAAAAATATTATAATAAAAATGTTTCAAAATTTTATTTTATTATAGGAAAAGTTTATATAAAGTTGTAATTTTAAAATGTAGAATCACATATGCACCTCAAAAATCTATCAGAAATGTTGTGTTAATGTTGAAAAACACTCTAATTTATCATCTCATGTATGAATATAAAAAAAAAGTTTTCAAGTCTCGAAAATAGTGCATCTTGCAACACATTATCTAGATCGTCTATTTTCATGATTTTTATATATTTATAGATTTACTTAATTTTAACTATTTTTGAAATTTAAAATTTCCTAATTAGGTATGAAAATAGATTTTCAGATAATACTTAGAATTTTTTACAACAAAATTACATGTTATGATAACATTTTAAGGTGCGCCTTAATTGGATTGTTTAAGGTTGCAACCTTATAAAAACCACACCTTTTTATTATGTATATTTTTTGGAAAAACTTTATATAAAGTCGTAACCTTAAAATGTAGAACCACGAATGCACCTCAAAAATCCATTGGAAAAGGTTGTTTTAATGTTGAAAAACCTTGTGATTGATCACCTCAACTTCGAGATGTATGACTATGAAAAATAAAAAAAATTTGAGTCTTATAAATAGTGCATCTTACAACATATTATCTACACCATCCATTTTCAAGATTTTCATATATTTCTAGATCTACTTGATTTTAACCATTTTGGAAATTTTAAATTTTATAATTAGATATAAAAATAGATTTTGAGATAATCCTAAGAACATTTTACATCAAATTATATGTTATGCTAAAATTTAAAAGTGCACCTTAATTGGATTGTATAAGGTTGCAACCTTATGGAAACCACACTCTTTTGTTTATATTCATAATCATGACAGTGTGGATCATGTACAAGATCGATACAAATAATAGGTGTGCCAAGGAGCCCACATGAAAATAGTATGAGTCGGGAAGGCATAAAAATTTTACACCTCATTTTGTCAGTGTACTGTATTGGCTCTCAAGGGGACATCGTCTCAATAATTTTGTAGGACGCCTCGCTGTCGACTTTAGGGGAATAGAATATTAAAAATGCTTTCAGCTAAACACGTGAAGACTATGTAGCAATATTGTCTTTTGGACACCGTACAAATAAGAAATATTTATTTAGAGAAATTTATTAAAAGGGCACGATTTGTATAAGATCGCAAAATCTTTTTGATGGTGAAAATTGACAGCCAAGATATGCATTACCGCATGCACTGTTTTTTAAATGTAAAATTTATTTATTTTAGACAAGATGATTAATTTAAAGGTTTTTCAACTTCAAAAAAACATCTTTTAGTAAATATTTAAGGTGTGTTTAGGACCTTGACTTTAGATAAGTTTATTATTTATTTATTTATTCTAAATAATTCGACCTGTTTATTTATTAACCACAATTGACACGTGTGCCACGATCTTTCTTCAAGGATAGCAATTTTAATGTGTTTGGCTTTTGAGTCCGTGCACTAGGGACCAACAACACCTGTTCACAATATTGTCTCTTTGCTTATTTACTGTCATCATGTGTATTAATAAATATGTTATTTTTCTCCAAGCTCATAGAATTGGATAAAAAATTGAAATTATAACCCACTAATGGTCTAGTAATTTGTACCATATGGGCTGATGAAATTGAATCAAAAGCTCCCAATAAAAAACTACATACGAAGAGGTGCTCAAGGCAAAAGTGGCCAGTGATAGATGCCGTGTCTTGGGTTCTATGTTTTACCAATAAAAAGAACATTTTTCTACTGAAACTATCCAAAAAAAAAGTTATGAGGCATTACACTGTAAATATAGGTGAAGAGATGCATATCCCACTTGAGCCTCCAAGCTGTTGAATCTGCAACTAGAAGGGCAATCAAAGCAGAAGGAAATATTCCCATGAAGCACATGAGTACAGTCAGGGATATTGGAGCTGGGTAATCATTGAATGCCCATGCCTGAAAATCAAGGATAATGTGAAATTTTCAGTGAATTTAGTTAGGAGAACTTTATAGATGGCAATCAATAGTAAACAAAAATAAAAATAAAATAAAATAAAGAAGAGAGGAGAATTCACTTCATTTTTTTGAGAATAACTAAAAGATTTAATGGTCATAACCTGGTAATTTAGCCATGCCGACCAACCTAAAATGCTCAAGAAAATAAGAATTATTCCCAAAGTCCAATCACTTGATGGGTTAAATGATGCTACTCCCAAGAGTGAGGCAAGAGACCCATTCGCTTTAAGGTATCCAACGGATGTAAGGACAGGACCTTTCACCAGTGTCATGATCGTAGCACCTGCAACACATGTAACTGTGCCGAAAATTTTTGCCTTTCCTCTTATATGCTTTATATCAAATTTCTCCAATCTAGTGTAACAAAAGAGTGTGTATTAGCATATAATTCTTTTAGGGTGCAATTGGCATACGGATGCATAGGTAACTGTAGATGTAAGGTGTACCTTTAAAATTTATCATGATATATAATTACGATGTAAAATGTTTTTAGGATTATCTAAAAATCTATTTTTATATTTAATTATAAAATTTTAAATTTTAAAAATGATTAAAATCAAGTAGATCTATAAACATATGAAAATCTTAAAGGTGGACGCTGTAGATAATATGTTGTAAAATGCACTATTTTTTAGAATTAAAATCATTTTATTTTTCATGGTCATACATCTCGATGTCGAGATGATCAAGCAAATGGATTTTCAACATTAAAACTACCTTTCCGATGGATTTTTGAGGTGCATCCGTAGTTCTACATTATAAGGTTGCATCCTTATATAAACGTTTTCCATTCTTTGAAGGATAAGGTTTCTAGTAATCTGTGACTCGTCTATTCATATGAGTCCTCCTTCTGAAATCCATTTTAGAGATGGATACTGGATTAAACATTTTAGGTGTTGATAATCCATATCATGGTTAACATGATAATATATATAGTTCAAAAAATAAACATAAAAAAATTAATATATTTTCAAGACGGTTAACTTAATGATTTTAGTGGGGATGAGGTTTCTATAAGATCAAAGCTTTATGAAAATAAAATAAAGTCTCACCACAAATCTTCATCTATAAAGTACTTTCAAAGATAGAAATCTCTATGCTCTAAAATCAATTTTCAACACTGACAATAAATTTTGTAATTTAGAAAATAGCGATGAAAATAGCGATGTAAACACTTAAAGGAAAAAAATAGACGGTCTAGATAATTTGTTACAATATACACTATTTTTAGTGCTTTGAATCCTAATTTTTTTTAATAACCATAATGTTCGAAGTTGAGATGATGGCTGTAAAGATTTTTAATTTTCAATGAGTTATGAGGTGAGGATTTACTTATTTTGATAGGGCTGCAGCCCTATCAAACCATTTTCCTTTAGTGAAACCGCGACCTTTTTAACATCCATCTAATCGCCTCACGGGGCGCACATGTAGAAGTGGGTCCCCTGACGCACGCTACTCTTTTCCTTCTCTTAATCGTAATTAAGGATACTTAAACAACAAAACGAACAAAATCAGTGGCCCTGTATTATTTTTAGAATTAATTTAAGAAACTAAATACTGACCTCAGGAAGATAGCCATAAGAAAAGCTACGGCTGGTATGAGATTTGCGGAAGTGGAAACAAAAGTGGAAGATGTGAGAGCAATTGCAGTGAGATATCCATTCTGGGTTATTGCGATCCTGACAATTCAAACAGTTAAATCCTTCTCAACTACAACCCATTTCTTAGTTTTCCATTTACTTTTAAGCCACTGTCCGGTTTCGGTTTTCATCAATCCATACAAAATGAAAGTCCGAAAAAAAAAAAAAAAAAAATTGGCAGTTACCCTAAGAGTGCGAGTAAGAAAATCTGACATAGAGTTTTAATGGATAGTGGAGGCCGCGTCTCCCTGCATTTACAACAACAAGACTTATGACACCTGTAGCATGCACTCAGACACAGAGGGAGAGAGAGTACCTTTCTAGTAATAGAGCAAAGGGAGCCAAGAATAGGGTTGCTACGATGCCCCTGTACGTTACAAAAACAAAGGGGCTCATGCCATTCGCGAATGCAGCCGTAGTCAATAGGTACATGCCTGCTATCAGTGACTGAACCACGACCTGAGCCAAAATGGGAACGTAGCCCTCCATTCTCTCCCCCCCTCTCTCTCTCTCTCTCTCTCCCCTCTCTCTATTTCTCCCTGCCCATACGATTTGAAGCCACGCCCTAAATAGCCAATTCACGTTTACTGTAGGAACCAAAGTTAATAACTAAGGGTGTAGGTTGTATAAGTGCTCTAACCAATCAAAGTAGGATGCACCTTCAAATAGCGCTCAAATATATTGTTTAACTATAAAAAATGATTGCGATAGCTTAAAAAATTATTTTTATCTCTAATTATAAAATTTAAAGATTAAAAAATAGCATAGTTCAAGCGGTTTTATGAACACTTGAAAATCTTAAAAATTGATAGCCTAGGTAATACATTACAAGATGCATTATCTCCAATATTTAAAATATATATTATTTCTCATCTTTATACACCTTGAGGTCAAAATGATTGAATTGAGGGTTTTTCCAGCATTAAAAGAACCTTTTTTAACGAGTTTTTGAGGTGTACGATTAATTTGATTCTTTAGGGCTTCTCCTTTATATAAGTTTTTTCCTTAATGGGCAAAGTTTATATAGAGCCGAGGCTCTAAATAATCAAATTAGAGCCCACCTCAAAATTTCACTAGAAGACGTTGTTTTGATGCCCAAATATATGCAAATTGATCATCTCGATATCAATATGCATGGAGATGAAAAAAATGGATTTCAAGTATTGATAAAAAAGATTCATTCCAAAATAAGAAAGAGTGATTAGATTGCCAAAAATAAAAGATTGGTAATACAACATCTCTTATAACTATGTGAAAATTTTGTCCAAGCTAGTGGAACAAGAAAGACATGGAAAAATATGAAATATAAAATCCAAGGATTTCGCATGGGATACTACCACAAAATAGGAATTCCCCTTGCTTTGTTTTCGCTCCGCTCGTACGTGGCACTCTTTGCTTGCGAAGCGGCACACCAGAAAAAGAAGGATTTACTTTATATTGAAAATAGTACATTTTGTAACGTATTTTTTGGACCATCAATTTTCAAGATTTTCAAGTTTTCATAGATCTATTCGATCTACACTATTTTGAAACTTTAAATTTTATGATTAAAGATGAAAATATATTTTAAGATTATCACAAAGATTTCCAGTTTTTTCTTTTGCCAAAAAACCATATGCTTTGAAAGGTGGGCTTTACTTTGATTGTTTAAAGCCTCAGCTCTATACAAATCGCACCCATAGTTAATTGAGACATTTACTTTGGGGACAAAAATAAATATGGTTGTCACCCATGACGATATGAATAAAGATATAACATGGTTGTCACCATGACGATATGAAAGATATAGCTTGGGATTGCATGAAAGTGAGATGGTTTACTGTGGTCCAAGAAGATCGTGAATCATCCTCTAATTGTTAAATGTGAAATCGCATGGTTAAGGATGTTCATTGTCAAGTACACTGAAACGCTTTCAAACTTTGGAAATGGTGAAGTAGTGTTTGAAAATCGGGATCACCAGGTTGAGCCGCCTTCACAAATCCTGTTCAGAACAATGACTCGCTGACGCATATAAGCGATTGACATCTATTTTCGGTGTTATAAAGGTCCATAAAAATAAAAATAAAAAAATAAAAAATAATAATAAAATATAATGTGTGGGAGCTAGATGATTCAACTGATGCACTTTAATTGGGAAAAGTCAGAAAAATGATTTAATTGGGAAAATTGGGAAAAGTGATTTAAAAAATAATCACGTTAACACGTCATCGCCGAGTCCCACTCGAAAATAAAAAAAAATACACGACTTTACTAAAAGCTAATAAGTAGGTACGATGTTTCTTTTGAGCTGTAAACAGCAGATATAAACAGCAGATAAGCCCTTTAGTGTTTGGAAACGCAGGTGGACTTTCGGCCGCGGTTGGCTCTGCTCTTTGGGAACTCGCTTTTTCGGTTGAATGAGCTGCTACCAATTGATGAACATTTTTAAACGAGCTCTTGTCTTCCTAGGTCTATGGTACCACAATTAGCCTCTTTCGTCGACTCTTGTGAATGATACTAATCTCATTTTTGGTCCTTCTGCAAAGAATCTTTATAGCACTTTTTTTGACTCGAAAATAAGGCATATACAAAGAAGAGGAACAAGTCAACTGCACCCTGTACCCCAAACGTCAATGAGAATATATTCGCGAACTTTAAGTAATCCCGTTTCGGTTATGCTTATATAAAAAAAAACAATCGAGTCCAGAAGGGAACTGGCGGTTCTGTATAGTAAAAAGGCAAATCGGATCATTTATTCACCGATCCGAACCAGTTTTTGGCCAATTCATTTTTTTTTACGTATGTATTCGTCGGTTCGCTTTTTTTTTCCACACTAAAATGACGATCTAGACTGCCAATTCACCGTTCCATAGCAATTTTTGACGTGCCCAATCCGGGTCAACCGTCTATTTCTTAGCAAGACCGTAAGAGCTAGATTGATTTCTAATTTTGACAAAGAACCCTATCCCACAAAATAAATTCCTTGTACATTATAAAAAAAAAAAAATCATTTTCTGGTACCCTTTTCCTGATCGACACTGGAAGTTTTAAAGCATTGATAGTGGCACTCATTTTCTTATCTTTCTTGTACCAAAAGCAAACAGGTCTGCATTTTCTTATTCACGGCTTCTCCATTTGTAAAGAACTTATGTCGCATTCGTTCCACTAAAAGTCTACAACCGACACAGGTGATGAATACCCAAACAAAAGCGTCAACTACTTAAGACCCCACTTCGTTATGAGCTCCTGTAAACTTGTTTGGCAAAGCGTACATCCATCCAACCCTATTTTGGGAATGAGGTCACTTATCTATGGTGATAATGGAACTCATAATGTTGTGTTGCGATGACCCACCTCCCTGACCACCAAGACTTTTAAGTCGATTTATACAGTTGCAACTTGTAAGTGTAAAAATAAGGGTCACCTAAAGTAAGTTATAAAAATATATACATTTTAATATTAAAAAACCTCTGATTGATCATCTCGATAGTGAGATGTATGAAGATGAAAATTAAATAAAATATTTTGAGTCCCAAAAATAGTGCTTTTTGTAATATAATACCTAGACTATCTATTTTTAAGATTTTCATATATTTATAGATCTACTTGATTTTAACGGGTATTGGAGTTTAAAATTGTATAATTAAAAATAAAAATAGATTTTCAGATAACCCTAAGAATTTTTTACTCCAAAACTACGTGTCATGATCAAATTTGGAGGTGCGTCTTAATTGGATTGTTTAAGGTGCAACCTTGTGCAAACCCCACCTTATTAATATAGGGGACGCTATCTATGTGACTCTACCCATATATATAGTATATGTAACCCCTGGTCTCAGCCTCCAGAATTGAGTAGATGGCTGAGATAGATTGAGTCACAATGTCACAAGTTAACTCTTAACCATCAAATCTTGATCAAATGACTCATAGTTTTTTATTTTTTACTTTTTTTTACAAATAATTTTGAAGAAAAATTTGGAGCAAGCATAAATCTGATAGGGATGTACATGATAAAAATCATAATAAAATATTTTCGAGATGAAAAATTTCCAGAATACCCTTGAAAATTTCATCGGCATTTTTGTCAATTTTTTTATAGAAATATTTGTTTTTTTTTTTTTCCATGTTTGCCCTAATTTAATTATGGGATGCCCACAATTTCATCCAAAAATATTTTGTAAAAAATAAATAAAAATAAAACAGTGTTTGTACTGATATTGTAGTATGAAAAATTAGAGCCGTTCGATTCAAATCGAACAGTTAAGAAGTAGGGTCTCATATAACTTACATGTTGTTGGGGTAACATAGAAACATTTCCGATTAAAATATACCGTTGAGATTAGCAACAATCTCCCGCACCACCTAAACAATTGGTTGATGAGAATGCATTGTTTACATACCCTATTGAATAGTTCTTTACTTATAAAAAAGAGAATGGATTGTTTACAGCTCGTATGTGTCTCCTCGACCACCTAGACCTTTGTTTTCCTTCATTCATTCAAGTGTTTAGAGGAACCTGGTCGTTGCTTTTGTAATGTACATTTTGCTTTTGTAATGTACATTTTCGTAATAATTTAATCACATTGTGGTCACCTAAATCGAGTGGTTGGTGTACGCCCAAGCATGCATGTCACGTGGATACAATAGGATTTGGGTGATAAAACGGTGACACTTGTATTAGCCTATCTTTATCACGTGCACCCCTAATATCATATTTTCTTTTGGTATTGTATATTATTTAAATATTTATCTTTGTCACAAGGAGATCATAATTATTTTTGGCCATCAGACATCAAATTGGATGGCTTGGAGTGTGTTACAAAATTTGAAATTTTTTTTGAAACTTTGAATCTAGTCAATGACACACTCACAACCACCCAATTTGAAATCTTATAAACAAAAGTGATTTTGATCTCCTTTTTCTAAAACTGAATGGCTTTTTGTATAATTTTTTCTTTTCTTTTAGAGATTTTTTGATAATTAGAGTATTATCATCATCAGAGTTTCTTTCCAACTATTTGAGATTGACAACACGAATCTTGGTTCGTCATTCTGCGCTATAAAAGGCCATACCCTTTTTGAAACCATAAATTGTCATATCTTTTCTCATTGCTTCCAATCATGTCCTTTTGGACCTATCCCTTGCCTTTTTTTAGCCTTTCACTTGAGCCATCTTATACCTTCTAACATATGTTGTATTAGATATGTGTTACACATATCCAGCCCGTTTAAGTCTACTTTCTCTCATCTTAACACCTATAGGAGCTACACTTAAGTTCTTCCGAATATATTTATTTTAAATTCTATCCCTTCTTATCTTGCCACTCATCCATTTTAATATCATTATCTCAGCTTCACTCATCATATTGGTATGTTATTTCTTGACCGCCGAACATTCTGTCCCATAGAGCAAAGCTGGTCTCACAATTGTCTTATAGAACTTTCCCTTTAGCTTCATTGGTATGCAACGATCACATAAAACTCTGGTTGTACATCTTCACGTTGCCTACCTAGCTCTAATTCTATATGCGACATCTCCTGTCATCTCTTTATTTTTCTAAATTATCAGTTGGA